GAGTCATACAGCAAAACTGCGACTGACCCCTGGGCTGTGTACCGTCTGCCTCATGGAGGTGACCAGTGCCTTGACACCCAGGGGGGGGTGTCACCCTTGGGTCGGGTACCGTCTGCCTCATCCCAGGTGACCAGTGCCTAGACACCCAAGGGGACCACAAACGTCCAGCAACGTGGCAAGCGAGTGCACGTCTGTCCGTGCCGTCATCCAAGATACCATTCCACTCCACGCCCTTGAGCAGGCGGGTCAACAGGTAGGTAGCTGAAGGCGTGGGCGGGGTCGAGTGGCAGGGCTCCTTCAGCAGCTTCCCGAGGTAGCCCCGCTGTCCAGGGCTCGCTCGGCCCGCACACATAACCACTTCGCTTCCTTGTGGTTGAAGATCATGTGGTGGGTCGGGTGTGAGAACTCGCTGCCGAGCACAATGCCTCTCGTCGTGCGTGTCGAAATTTTCCAGCCTGCGCAAGGTCGAGATAGCCATTGCTTGGCGATGTCCTTGGGCCCCGTCCTGGTAGCGGGCTGTCTGCACCGAGTGCAGTCCCAGCGCGCCAAGGTGCCCCCCTTGCTGATGTCGTGGTGGTGCTCCAACGCGATCTGGCTGAGGTTGTGTGGTGGCTCAGGGTGGTGGTCATTCAGCTCGTCTGCTCGTTGCTGTCGTCTCGTGGCGTGCTGGGGTGGTCTGCTTTCGAAGGCATCACGGGTGGCTTGGCATATTTTGCCGCGAACATTGACCGCCGTAGCCCTGATCCAGTCGTAGCAGTCGGGCTGGGCCGCACCGATCGCGTGCTCCGCCGCGGCTTGGTCGGCGAGCTGGTCGGCGATGTTGTTCGCAGCCCAGGCGTGCTTGGGGACCCCCCCCTGCAGAGCCTCCTCCAGCGTCAGGTGGCTCTCAATCTTGAACAGGCTGATCGTGCCACGCCTGTTGATGAGCGCTGTGTGGATGAGCTGCCATACGTCCGCGTTGGAGCCCTGGTTGAAGGGCCACTGGTGTCGAAGGTTGCGCCAGCTCGCTACTAGTACCGCGGAGTCGGTCCAGATGTGGAGGTCGTCGTTGGTGCTCTTGACGCAGTTGTAGAAGGCCCACACCTCTGCTCGGTTGTTGCTCTGCCTATGTCCTGTTAGAGGACCCCGCCTGCCTGCCGCCAACTGGTATTCGCCGTCGACGCCAAGGCGTAGTCTGACCCAGGCCCAACCACATCGCATGTTTCGGTCGTCTCCATATCGTTCTCCACCGCTGCCGTCCCCATAGATCACCAGTGGCCCATTTCCCGTCGGCGTGAGTCTGCCTTGGCCGATCGCTTCGCCTAAGCAGGTCTCGCTTTCCTCCGTGGTGCAGGGCTCTGGGCGTGTCTATGGTGTGGGGGTGAGCCCCCGTAGCCAGAAGCAGGGCACTGTGCCACTCATGCTGTGGGCTCTTCGTGTGATGGCTGAGGAGTGATCGTATGCAGGGCTACCCCTGCGGCTGCTGCAGTCGCCCCAGATGCGGTGGAAGTCCGTCCCGACGCGCCCGCACTGGCAGGTGGTGTGCCTGACTCCTATGCTCGCCTTGCGTGCCTCAGTCCACGTGCCAGCGCAGGCCGCTGCTAGAAGTGTTCCGTGTTCTGCATGACGTCCTTGATGGAGGAGTGGGCGTAGGCGCCGTCGAGGTCTGTGTTGTCGACGCCGTGCTCACATCCTGTACCGTGGTAGTGCCGTGCTGCATGCATCCAAACTCGTCGGCGGATGTGTCTTCCCAGCGTGTCAATCAGCTCCGTGGGGTCGCCTGCCTGCTCGTCCTCAGGAAACTCCCACGTGCTGCCGTCTGCGTCGGTCCACAATCTGCCCGCAGCGCGTCCCAACCGCAGAGCCACAGGGTCAGGACGAGGCTGCCGATGGCTCCACGTCGTTGCTGCCATCTGTGTCGTGGTGGTGCTTCTAGGAGTCGGTGTCGTATAAGTGGCCACGCCTTGGAGGAGGAGGAGGAGGAGGAAGAATACGAAGAAGAAGAAGACGAATAACAAGAAGAGGAGGAGGAGGAGGAGGAGGAGGAAAGGGAAGAGAAAGACAAGAGGAAAAGGAGGAGGAGGAAGCAGGGAGGAGGAGGAGGAGAGGAGGAGGAGGAGGAGGAGGAGGAGGAAGAGGAAGAGGAGGAGGAGGAGGAGAGGAGGAGGAGGAGGAGGAGGAAAAGGGGGAAGGGGAGGAGGAGGAGGAGGAAGAGGAGGAGGAGGAGGCGGAGGAGGAGGAGGACGAGGAGGAGGAGGAGGAGGAGAGGGGGTGGGGGTGGAGGAGGGGGAGGGGAAGGAGGATGATTAAGAGGAGGAGGAGGCGGAGGAGGAGGATGAGGAGGAGGAGGTGGAGGAGGCACCTTAGCAACATCAAGGATTAGTTCGCGCCCCCCCTCCTGGGGGTTCCCGACGGGGAAGAAGGGGGGGTGGAAGGGGAAACGCTTTCAACCACTCGCGCCCAGAGGGCTGCTGGGAGTCCTACCTGTTTGTGCCCCCCCCCGTGAGAGGCGCGGGGCGACGCGTTCTGCTCTGGGCTTCCAGCCGGCCGTGCTGCAGGTAGTCTGCGCCGCGGGCCCTGGGGGGGAGGGGGACCACCCTGTTGGCATTGCATTCTCCAAGGAGGAGGAAGCGGAAGAGGAGGAGAGGAGGAATTGGCTTCCCCGTCGTCCTACTTGTGGTATCCCATCAAGGATCCACTGGCACTGGCACTACGGCAGCAAATAACTGAGTGAATTGGTAAATAGGTGGCGTAGGTAGGAAACTCTCCGAGCTCGCCGATCTACACATAAAAACTGTTTACGAACAAAATGGGGAAGACGAGGTAAAGAACGCACATTACGGGTCATGTCGAGATAGGATGGCTTGTCGAACGCATGATCGGAGGATTGATCACCTGGGCGGCGAATCGGCCATCGCAGATAATGACGACCTGGATCTCTCCGACCTGTGCGATATCATCAACAGCGTGATCAACGACCTACTTTGGAAGCTAGCAGCGCTACACACATTCGGACATGGGTTAGAGTGTGGTGACCTCTATCAAGCCAGAGCCTCCGCAGCATCCTCGAGGAAGAGTTCGGTAAGGAAGCTGAAATGCTGGAGACCTTCGTGGCTGGAGGGCTATGGGACCAAGCGCGGTTGGATGCGGTATAATAAGACACAACACTGGCCTGCACAAGATGCAGAGAAGCAGTGGGGGACACTATGCACCAGACTTGCGGCTGCAAGTGCAATGGCGACATCCAGCATCATTGGGTGGAGGCAACTGCTGACCGTCTTGACAGAGCCAGAAGGAGGATGGAGGAAAGCCCATCTCTGAGCACCCTGTATGACTCCGGCCCTCAGTTGGAGGGAATCACCCCCACTGGCCGACGGAGGGAGGAGGGAGGGTGTATCCGGCCCCCCGCCTGGGGGACCCACGCTCTCAAATCCGTACCAGACTGGCCGCACGATGGGCGCCATGACGGGGGACAGCTCGTGGTTGGTGCGGGCACGTGTGGCTGGGTGGCGAGGGCGAGGATCCAGCGATCAGTTTGCATTCTCCGAGAGTGGGTGAGCAGGTCCGCGCAGGCTCACGGCCAGCGGGATCAGGACCCAGGCAGGCTGAGACGGGCGCCCCGGGACGGGAGCCCCCCAATCCTTTTTCTGAGCCCCCGTCCCCCAGAAGGCTCCTGCTCCTCCTCCTCGCGCTCCAGGCAGTCGACCAGGACGTCTCAGTCAAACACCCAGCCCCATGACCTTGGAGGAGTACGGCTACGGCTACTTCTGCGATGTTCACGAGCATTATTGAGGCAAATCTCCCACATTGAGGCGTGTTTGGTCTCACGGAGGGCCGGAGGCTCACGACGGGCACTGCTTCCCTGGATGGGTCAGCAAATTCCACGGGCACGAGGGTTGCCAGAGCAGGATGCGACTGTGCGCTGAATGTGCGCTGAAGCCCACCAACGGACTTCACCGAGCTCTGCGGCACGATTCGTGGAGAGGCAAGTGGTACCCAGCTCAGCGATCGCGCTCCTGGCCTTTCTGACTTGCGTTGACGGAGAGGCCTATCATACTATGGACGGATGCGCAGGCCGTGCTGGATGGATGGGTTGCTGCTCAACGTGGTTTGCAGCCAGGTGGTATCAACGGAATGTGGTGGAGAGCAGCGACGCAAGCTCTGGAGGCGAGACCTGGAGGCAGGAGCCAAGTGGACCTTCGGAAGTGTGTTCTTCCCACCGTGACGGAACTAACCGAGTGGTTATATTTCAAATTCTCAGTGTCTTTGATGGAGATGGTGTGGCATATGAGTTGGTGAAGACAGGGGTGGTGAAATCCATCGGCTTCACGCAGCCGCAGGTCAACGAGCGCAGTGACTGGGAAATGTTGGCATCCAAGATACACATGGGGACAGCGTCCATCATCAGTCATCTCTCTTCTTGCTCGAGTGGTAAGTGCATGATGAGGCTGAAGGAAAAACGCAAGCCGCTGGACGTCAGCGACAAGGTCTTCATGGAGCTGCGTCGCGTCCGTAGCAGGAGGCAATTCTACCAGGATCGTCGTACAGTATACCCGATGCAACCGCTCACTTGGAGGAGACAACCAGATCACGTGGCTGAAGAACACGCAGTGTGCTGGGTGGGAAGGCAAGTCAGAGAGCAGCACGCCGCTGAAGCTGTTCCCGACGCTGTAGACATCGATCAAGATCCGCGGACAGAACGTCGAATTGAACAACCACTGCATGTTGATGAACGGCCAACTTTGGTGCCAAACGTGCGGGAGGTTGGGGCACATCGTGCCGCAATGAGATGGTCGTCTCAACAAGCTAGTGGCACCCTGTCCTGTCCCTTTCCCTTTCCCTTGCCTGTGCGTTCATGAGTGCGTAAGCCAAACTCCTGCTGGCGCTGTCCTCCTCGTCCTCCTTCTCGTGCTCCTCGTCCTGCTGGCCCCTCCTCGTCCTCCTCCTCGTCCTCCTCCTCCTCCTCCTCGTCCTCATCCTCGTCCTACTGCCCCCGTGCCCCTTGCCTGGCCCGCGCCAAGAGGCCGACCACTCGCCAGAGCGGGAGCTCCAGGCGGCCAGGCGCGCGGAGGCCGAGTCCCTGGAGGACCGCATCCACGAGAAGGAGCACGAACTGCAGGCGACGCGGGGCCCCAGGGGGGACGAAGAGCAGGAGTAAGGAGGAAGGTCGAGGAGGAACGGTAGGAGGGGGACCAGGACCAGTGTAAACCCGAGAGTCACCAACGATGTTTGAATAGAGCTTCCCCCCGAGCTCCAGCTTCATAAAGGCAGGGGGAGGAGGAAGGTCGAGGAGGAGCGGTTAGAGGGGGGGAGAAGGGGGAGGAGGGGGCGGCGGAGCAGGAGGAGGACCAGTATAAACCCGAACACTATCAACGATGTTTGGACACACCCTCCCCCCGAGCCCCCTTTCCGTATGCCCCTGCGTGGATTCATTCCCCATTTGAGGGAAGCGCACCGTTGGGAGGCAGTTGTTTGAAGATCCTGAAGCGTGCCGAAACACCACTCTCGGGACTTCAGCGCCACGAACCAACATGAGTGTTGAGTGTTGGCGATCCTGAAACGTGCCAGGACAGCATTCTTTGGACTTCAACACTGTGAATCAATTGAATTGCTGCGCCCAGACAATCCTGAACCGTTCCCAACCATCGTTTCTGGTATTTCAACCAGGGGGTCAGTGGAATTCCTGCAAATATTCAAAACGAATGTGCGCGACGCAAAAACGAAACACATGTTGATAAAGAGCCGTCTTCAATCCGTGCAAAGTCTACACTGGCTTTCGACGAGTGTGCGCGGCGCTAATGCGAGAGCCACATTTTGGAAACCGCCCGCCATCAGTCCGTGAACATCTTGTACATGTTTAAGACGAGTGTCCGTGGCGCTGATGCGAGAAACATACCTTGAATAGGGACCGCCCTCAAACCGCGAATCTCTCGCGAATGTTTTTCCAACATGAAAAGTGCACGCGGCGCTAATTCGAGGACGAATGCACGCGACGCTAAGGCGAGAGCAACATGTTGCAAACCTCCCGCCCTCAATCCGTGAAAATGTTAGTCCTCAGGATTGAGGACTGAGGCTTAAAGGATGAAGCTGAGGAGCTGAACACACGTCCGGACCTGTCGGTTTCCCCACTGGAGGCGCAAACCAGGAGGAGGGCCGCCCTGTTCCGGTCGGCCCCGCGCGTCGGCAAGATTTGAGCCAGAGCGGCTTGAGCCAAAGAGCTACGTAAGCGATGCGTTTGGACACTTGCGACGCATTGTTTCGCAGATCCAGCGACTGCAGTGCTACCGCTTTTGGCTGGCTCGCCACAGCGTGCCATCTGCTGCTGCTGCGAGAGTCCCTTGTCGCAGAGCGCAGAGCCGAATACGCAAATAATCGGAAAGAGAACCTCGACCGCCTCGACAGAGGTCTCACCCCGAGGAAGTCGCCTCAGGTTCAGACCAGAGCTGAAGAATCCGAAGCTGCTGCACTGTCCCCCCTTTCGTCCCTCCTCGCTTCCGCTTCATGCCCCCTCCTCTACCGCCCTCTCTCCCCTCGGCATCCCCTGCCTCCTCCTCTGCCGGCTCTTCTTCCTCCCGCGTCGTCGTCGTACCTCCTCCGACCCCCTCTCATCCTCCCCCGTCCTCTCCTCCTCGGCAGGTGAATAGTCGCTCGGTACAAATCAGTGGTAGCGGAAGCCTTTGCCTAATCAAATTTCCTTCTCCTTCTGATCTCTTTCTCCTCTTTCTTTGACCCCCCTCTCCTCCCTCTGGCCTTCCTGCCTTCTCCTCCCATTTCTGAGGAGGCCAGAGGAGGGATGAGGAGAGGGAGGAGGGCCTCTCGCCTCCCCCTCCTGATCATCGTCCGTTCCCGCCTCCCACTTCTCTGGCCCCCCCCACGTTGGTCCGCGTCATGCGCCGCCCGCCGACACAGGAGGCGCGGGACGAGTGCGACGAGCTCCGGCGCAATTGCGACAGGCCCAGAAACCCCATACGAGGACGAGGAGGAGGAGGAAGAGGAGGAGGAGGAGGAAGAGGAAGAGGAGGAGGAGGAGGAGGAGGAGGAGAGGGAGGAGGAGGACGAGGAGGAGGAGGAGGGATGATGGTGGAGGATAGGAGGAGGAGGAGGAGGAGGAGGAGGAGGAGGAGGAGGAGGAGGAGGAGGAGGGAGGATTTGGGGAGGAGGAAGAGGCAGAGGAAGAGGCAGAGGAGCAGGAACAGGAGGAGGATGGGGATTGCCGTCGCGTGGTTTGAGCAGCGGCCGTCCCTGGGCGGCCGGCGCAGAGCGCTGGAGGCACACACCCATTTGCAGAGCGCCAGGATTGCGCCCCCGCCAGAGGAGGGGGAGGAGGCTTCGTCCTGCTTCGCCGCGTTCTCCGCGCTGATCAGAGAGGGTGGTCGAGTGCGACCGTGACTCGATGTTGTCAAGGTGGGAGGCGGGGGAGGAGGAGGAGGAGGAGGAGGAGGAGGAGGAGGAGGAGGAGGAGGAGGAGGAGGAGGAGGAAGAGGAGGAGGAGGGGGGAAGGAGGAGGAGGAGGAGCAGGAAGAATAGCAATAACGATACTAATACGAACGAAGAACATGGAATCTACTAAGGAGACGAAGACTAATAATATTACTGCAGTGCGACCCTACCTAGAAGTTGGAGCCCATAGGAAAGCAGCATTCGTTACTATGCTATGCTATGCCATGCTATGCTATGCTGCGCTATGCTATGCCATGCTATGCTATGCTGCGCTATGCTATGCTATGCTAAGCTATGTTATGTCATGATGCGCTGTGCTATGCTAAGCGATAACATGCTATGCTATGCTGCGCTATTATATGCTATGCTATGCTATGCTGCGCTGTGCTATGCTGTGCTGTGCGGTGCTGCGCTATGCTATGCTATGCTATGCTGAGCTGCGCTATGCTAGGCTATGCTATGCTATGGTGTGCTCTTCTATGCGAAAGCTCAGCGAAGCTAAGATGAAGGTAAGCGAAGCTAAGACAAACCTGAGCTAAGATGAAGCTAAGCTAAACTATATAAAATTACATGAGCCAAGCTAAGATGAGATAAGCAACGCTAAGCTAAGGGAACGTAACCGGGGGAACCGCGGGGCGGATCCTGGGGGAACCGCCCGAGCCGGTTCCCACTGCCCGACCTTTTAAGCACATAGAGTAAGAACCCTTCTAGGCAGAGCCTAGGTAGGTAACTAAGAATAAAAAGAAGGCGAATCCGAATACCCATAATACGATTAATAAGAAGATAACGAAAACACTAAGAAACATACTAAGACGAATAATCATAATACGAATGAAAACATGGTAGTACTGATAATACGAATAAAGAGATGGATAGTAGGAAGACTAAGCAGAGTAATGGTAGCACTACGAAGAATAGCAGTGATGGTACACATAAGAAGAAAAAACATAATAATAAGAATAAGAAGAACAGGAGGAGGAGGAGGGAGAGGAGGAGGAGGAGGAGGGGGAGAGGGAGGGGGAGGGGGTGGTTGGTGACCTCCCAACAGGGTGGCATATTGCGACTGCGGGCTCAGCCCCTTTAGTGGATAGTTGCCGGGGCCAACCGGCGACCGATGGCAACCCCACACGTCAGCCCAGGGACTGATGAGACCATTCTTGGGAAGTAGCCCTTGGAGAGAGGGGGAGGGTGCGAGGACTTGCGCGCCACCGTGCCCAAACCTCCCTCAGCTCACAGGCTCTCTCCCGGGAGTTGCCACGCCCAGGGCCCAAAGCCGAAAGCTAACGCTAGATTTGGGTTTTTCTGGGGGGGGGCACCAGCGGCCCTCCAGCAGAGATCCTCGCCGAATCCTCGCCCGGTCTCGACTCCATCCTACGCCGACGCACGACGCAGGCACGAGGTTAGCCAGGTGGGGGGGAGAGGAAACAGACCTGGAGGGGAAGGAGTTTTTTCCAGAAGAGGGTCGCCGTTTGCTTCAGGAAATCTTCTAGCGACGCTGCCTCGGAGAAGCCTGCGTCCCCTGGCGACGTACTCAGCAGGACGCGGGCGCATTCCTCCCTAGATGCGGGTTGCGGTATCCCTCGCGCCTGTCAGAAGGCAGCGCGCATTGTTGCGCGACATCGCAGGCGCCTAAGGCGTGGAAGCTCGGGTTGTGGACGGCGCGCTGGCAGAAGATGCAACATTCTTCCTTAGCCCACGACTGGCGCCCCTGCGCGCGAATGATCAGGATGAGGCGGCGCCGATGCCGTGACAGAGGCCGTTGACCCCGTAAGTTCTTCCATGGCAACGACAGCAACGACAACTCCATGGCTCTGCTGCGGCCCCCATCGCAGGACGGAGCCCAACAAGAACAGAGGGAACTGCCGCGCGTATTCTTGTAGGCTCTGTTGAAGCCTCCTGCGACAGCGTGCCTCCGCCAGCGACCAGACGCACTCCTTGCACTGCGCCCGGGCGCCTGCTCCCGCCGACGCGCGCCACCCCAGCCACTCTGGCAGGCCCCGTGAATCGAGAAGGGCCGAGGAGGATCCGCCTATCCGCATAGCCTCTGACGAAGACTACTTAATGCAGTTCTTCGTCGGGGAGGGGCCGTGGCGCTGAACGTCGGGACGCCGCGTCCAAGACTGCCCTGCCCGAGCCAGACAGCACCCAGGGCAGCTCCGTGCAGGCAGGAACGACAGGGCGCCAGGAGGGGCTGCCGAGCACCGCCCCCGCCCATGACTCACGCATGTCATCGGGCGTCTGGCAGGCGCCGGCTGCCACCGCGTAGAGCCAGCGTCAGGAACGAAAGGAGGAGTCCACCTTTCCCTCGAACGCTCCAGCAGCTGCTGCCAAGTGGGTGGACCCGCCGCCAACAAGGCCAGCGAGTTTTGCAACCTGCGCTGCAGCGTCCCCCAGGCGCGCCGACGCCGCGCGCTCTAGAGCAAGATCTCCTTGCCACTGGAACCCTAACCGGCGGCGCGAAGAGGAGAGCTGCGTCGGCGCTGGCGCTCGCCCCCGCAGCGGCAGGCTCAGAGGGGCCGCCTCGGCCGCGGCAGTTCTCGCGTGCTCCGCGCCGTGGACGACCGCGGCGCGCTTGGCAGCTTTCGTGCACGGCGATGTTTTTTTCACGAAGCGCCCGATCCGCAAGCGCCTGCTGAACGCGCTGGGCGGCGCCCCCGGACGATGCTAGAAGCGCGGGATCGTCCGCGCGTAGAACAGCGGCGAGGCGCTTAGGCGCCATGAGGTCCAAGGCAGAAAACGCCGAAGCTTCGAGGTCGTCGTCAGCCCCGAGGGCAGGGGGGCGAGGATGCAGGGGGCCAGAGCGCAATGCCTTCAGCAGCTCCCCCGCGCGGGATCCATCCGGCATGCCAGCTTCTCGCCGCGAGCATTGTTCCCAGGCGCTGGGCATGGTCGCGCCGATCCCTGCTCCGCGCCCCGCTGCCGGGAGGGGGTGCTTCAGTGCATCCACGCAAGCAGGACAAGTCAGTGGGCCGACCGCTCTTCCCCCGAGATCCCTCGCAGAATCTGCACGACGAAACATCTGAAGTTCGCGTGGGTCCTGTCCCTCTCAAAGTTGCTCGCGAGGGGGGCGCAGGCCCCTCCCCGGAGCTCTGCCTGCTTTTCGAGGCTCACCAGTAACGATTCGCGCCGAGATCGGGGAAAGGCCCTCTGGAGGTCCCCAAAGGCCGGCCAGAGGGCCGTCTTTGGGCTGCTTCTCCCGCTGCCAATTCGCACGGTAATGGGCGGGCATCTCCTACGTCGCGGATGCATCCGCTTTGGCCCGGCCGCGCAGAAAATCGAGTCGTCGGGCGCGCCTTCTACGGTGGCGACATCTGGTAGCGGGGCCAGCTGCGCCTGGACCATGCATGACGAGCCTAACAGATTCACCATGTGGAAAGGCGCGGCATAGTCTCCGCGCCACGCCGCTGGCCAGATTGTCAGAGCCCGTGGACCCGCAAGGCGAAGAACTAACCGAGCGACTCGATCCAGGCAGGAAAGACCAAACTGAAGAACCACCCGCGGGAGAATATTTGGCGTCGTGGCATTCGTCCGACCCAGCTGGAGGACCGCAGACCGCGCTTCCCCTTCCGCGACTGGCGCGCCGTGTTCTCTCCGGCTTCTCGCTGCTCAGAACCGGCGCGCCAGCTCCGGCAAGCGGGCTTGACGCCCTCCATGTGTCCCGAGTCGAGTGCACCAGGTTGCCCTCGAGGCCTCAAGGATAAGCAGGAACTCGCGCGCGCCCGGCAGCACCTGAGAGGCCTTTTTTTCCCGGCGGCTCGAGAACCCGCATGCAGATGGCCAGGCGCTCTTGTGCTGAATTTCCCCTTGACGAGGCTGCTGTTGACTTGGCCCTGCATCGAGGCAGGCGGGCGCTCGCGCCCTCTCGCGCCAGCCGGGGCCCGTGGAACTACCCGCCCTGCGATGGCGGCGCCAAGGATGGGGGCCAAGGGCTACGCCACCGCATCCGCAATCCAGCGCGCCGCTCGTTACGGCGCGGCTCGCGCCCACTCCGCCCCCGCGATGCCCCCGCAACGAGGCGAGACATGTTTCCGGTATTTCTCGAGCAGGTGGAGGCATAACCGACGCACTCTGTCCGAGAGGCTTCGTCGGGCCACCGCCGCGGCATGCGCAGCATGCCCAGTCCCGCCCTTGCGCCCTGGCTTTTCCAACGGGAGAACAATCTCCACGCGGGGGTCATCGCCCGCGGTATAATCCACGCGTTCCGCCCAGCAGCAAGGCTCCGAAGCGCAGCGGGAACTGCAATTGTGGACTGTGGCCCTTCCCGAGGCCGCCTCCGATGCCTCGATTATGTCCAGGCGGCGCGATCGCCCTGATCCGCGATGGGCGCCCCCGGGCGGAGGTGGGCAGTGCGCCCGCGAGTTGGGGGTAAGAGTGAGACCTGGGCCCCATTGCCCACTTGCGGGTGCATATGTTTCAGGGCCCAATCGAGGGCGAATCTGCTCCGCGCTCGTGGGCGATATTGGGGATGGGCCCCTCCCCCATTGACATTCCCTGGCCGGATATTGATGCCCCC